TCGGTTGAAGTTTTGTCTATGTTTATATATCTGGATGGCTTCATGAACAAACCTTTGATAGTAGCCCGAAGGTTTTCAGAGTACTTTGGTCTCAGAAAAAAGCAATATCATGCGAGCCCACAGCGTTATAACAATGGTCAGCTACTGCATAGGTATTGGTTCTGCCATGTGTCAGATCTGCTTTGTGTTCACGAACAAGGTCCGAGACATGTCGTTTCGTTTCTCCAATGTAACTGCTACCGCAGGTGCAACACAGTTTGTAGACTCCAGGGTATTGCATGTCAGGAATGACCTCATTCACAGATGGGATTAGATCACAGATTTTGTGTACTGTATTGAATCGGACCTAGATCTTGTGTTTAAGATTTTATAAATATTTTTGGTAACACCTGCTATGTATGGTAAAGTGATGGTTTTGATTGGATTCTCAGGAGATTGTGTCTCCATGGTTGGAGAAACAGCTTTGCGAATAATGCGGTCCGAGTACCCATTCATCTTGAGGCATTGGTGTACATGTTTCAGTTCACTGGCTAGGTGGTGTTGGTCGGAGATGCAGTGGGCCCTATGGTGTAGTGTTTTGATGAGGAAATTCTTCTGTGCCAGATGGTGGTGGGAATCAGGTTTTAGATAGGAATCTGTGTGGGTGGCTTTCCTGTGGACAGAGTGCCCCAATGAGCCGTCAGGCCTCTTCTCAAACAGAACATCCAGGAATGGGAGCTTACCATCCTTCTCCACTTCGATGGTGAATGTGATGGATGGGTGTATGGAATTGATGTGGTTGAGAAATTGGTTCAATGCTGGCAGGCCATGTGGCCAAATGACGAAAGTGTCATCTACATATCTCTTCCACAAGGAAGGACGTAGGGTGGATGTCTGGATGGCATTTGTTTCAAATTTCTCCATGAAAACATTCGCTATCACTGGTGATAAGGGGAAATCCATGGGGGTACCTTCATTTTGTTTGTAGAAAGTACCATTCCAGGTGAAGTAAATGTTGGTAAGGCAGTGCCTAACCAAGATTAACTCATGCAGCGGCACATTGAACAGTTTCTCGTCATTGCCAGTCTACCTGTTTCGGCCTCGCTTTGCGCTGTGTTGCACCACTATCCGAATAGTTAACCTCGCATTCAATAAACCTTCAGAGCCAGGGTGAACATCCAACTCCAACGTATTTTATGAATAAAACGAGGTAAAACTGATGGAAAAACACAACACAAAATACAGCAGCTGTTAATACTTACAATATCAATACAATTAATGAACCCTGCAGCATCATAACATTGTCTTAGATAATATGAATCTCAACAATAGATCCTGAATGGACCAGGCACCTACATTAGCACTGAATGGCTATACAAGAGAATAAGCTACTGTGTTAAATAAGGTCACTTCATGTAATTGCCATACTGCAGCCTAAATGTACAGTGCTGCATATAACACTGACCTGTGGAAGAGATACTTCTTCATCCTTGCTCTCAAGAACGCATTAAAGTTACATGGGGATTAAGTCTGGCTCGACTTATCCAACTACAAATAACATTCACAATAATGCATGTGGCAGGCTTCGTTGTTAACTAAGCCCTATATTCCTCGTAAAAATTTAACCGCATTATAAAGGCATTTACAGCATTATAACAGCATTATAACAGCATTCCCAGTATTATAAGAACATAAACGAACTTACAGACAATGCTTCTTCAAGTTCCGCAATGAACAGATGCACCCGTCTTCACTGAGAGGCTAATTGTGCCTCCATTTTGTACTCTGTGTAATGGCTGACACCCCTGCCTGGCCTCGTGGCTTAGAGACCCTTAACTTGCAACTTCCTGGTCACGTGACCAAACTCAACACCACCATATCAGGAAGTTCCTGTGTAAACACACCCCATATCTGCCGTAGGCCAGAACACTACCAGTTTTCATTGTTGATGATGACTACGAGAGATGACGGATTAGTCTCTAGTCTACTCGATTCCCTTTTCCGCTCCTTGGGTTGGGTGCTCTACATACATACATGACCCAACCCAAGGAGCGGACCCAACATCTCAACCACCACTACCATCACCACTTACTACATCATCATTATCTCTCACCACCACCAACCAACACAATGACTACAAATTACCACCATCATCATCCCTGGCTCCCCACTACCAACATTAGTTGATACTATGTACCTGTCCACCGTCACCACCTCCTACGTCATCACAGGCTCCTACCACCACCACCAAAGCATCCATTACCCACCATCAACGCCAGACCTCGTAAGCCGAGCAGTGTTTGAGCCTGGTTGGTACAAAGGTGGAAGACTTCCTGGGAATAGCCATGCATTGTCGGCATGGAGTTGTTAGGCGTACAGACATGGATTCGTGAATCTATTTGTGCGCAGCTTTAAGCGTGCGCTTCCCCTCGTATGCGTGGAGAACTCCTCCGGTTTCCCCCCAAGTGTCAAACGCCTACAACCCAATGCAGCACCCTACTGAAAATACGTCTGAAAACTAATGGAGGCTAACCTTTTTGATTTTGATGCATGGTTCAAGCGAGCCTGACTGCTGATGAGACACTGGATTTTTAAACCGATCCAGATTATACTTTTGTTGAACTAATGCTGCTGAAATTGTGACTTCTAAAAGCCCGTTAAGCTGAATGGATGTGTTCAAAATATATTAGACTTATGTTTTACGTGGAGGGACAAATATGGAACTGAGGCGTATTGTTTGCTTATACACTGTGTTACTGGTTAAATAAAGTAACTTATTCAAATGCTGTTATTGTGCAATGGCTATCTGTGGATTCATTTGTCTCTAAGAATGGAAGGAATTTGATTGAATAAAGAAAATTCTGAGTTTGATTCTCAGCCACTGCTCACATCATTGACAAGTGATATTTTAATGCATGCCTCTCATTCTACTCTCCCTCTTCTCCAGCCCGCACAAACCAGAGTCGTGAAGTATGACCATACAACCCCCATGACTGACTTACCGTTGAGAGGCCTTCATTCAGCAGTGCATAAACCATGGTCGATAACTTGAACTTCTGAGCATCGAGAGACACGCAAAGGCGGCCGCAGCACGAGTAGGAGGAGATGTAGCACTTGACGGTGAGAAGGAAGATGTTTACTGATCACAGTTGAAACAAAACCCGTGACTTCCAACCAATAGGGAGTTGTCTCTCATCGGCGGTCACGTGTATGTGGAGACAGAATTGAGTTCTGCTTAAACGGGCATACCCTGATTTACGTCATCCCCTTTAACGTGGTTTCTCAAACACGACGTCACTTTATTAACACCGCTACCTGATTTGCGTCACTTCAACCCACATTTACATCGCTAACAGCATCGTCCGTCCTTTCTCGTATTCGTCGCATCGGCTTTCGTCTCCACCTATACCCCGTAAATTGATTTGATTTATGTTGTTTCGATATTCGTTGCATCTTTCAGGAACGCACGTCAGACGTAAACCGGGGTATTAGTGAATATTATTTCACTCTGGTGTATATAGGTGCGCTTCAAGCAGACGCGATCCACTGCTGGATGTAGTTGTTTTTTTGTTTGTTGCGGTTGCACCCGATTCAAGAGCCGAATGGCTCACAGGCTATACCAAATAAATGAAATGAAACTGGGTTTGCCGGTATGGTACTCAATCACGCGTTTAGCCGAATATAAATTCGTGACTATCACTTATTCTCTAGGTTTGCTAAATGCAGAGTGCCATCGACTCGCATATATTTACACACAGAGCCAGATACTCAAACATCGACATATACAATCATTAATTACTGAGCATATAAACCAATGAACTCTCACAGAGACCTCCAAATATAGGATCCTCTTGAAAATGAGTCTCCGGTTAAAGACAGTGTGTTATGAGTCATCGGTATGATCCTTGCTGACCGGATTACTGGTCAACGAGTTACTGGTTTGGGTGACCGGCCCAGTGGTCAGTGGTTTATTGACCCGTTGGTTAGGAATGTGACGAGCCTACTGGTCACCTGATGGCTGACCCATTGGTTCGTGTGCCATGGACTTGCTGATCATTCGGTGGATGTGCGTCAGATCTTGGAGGCAGGTTGCTGTTAGGGGCTCACGCCACGTTTATTTAAGGGCTTACGCCAAGTTGTTCAGGGCTTACGCCAGGTGGATAAGGCTTACGCCGAACCAGCATTCCCCTAGCCAATAACTCCCCCAGGGGACAGGGTACTGGGATCCCTACACCCCGTCTAACTCGCCTCTCCACCCTGCCCCGGCCCGGGACCACCCCCAACCTCGGCCGGTCGGGCGGAGCAGCCACCACTAGCCTCGTGTGAGGATCAACTCCCCGAGTCCCCACTCCTACCCCCGACGACCCCCTGTTCCATCCCGGGTCGCCCTTTAAATACCCCCCTGGGGGCATGACGTCATCGTCCTCCACGGCCCGCCTGGCGTCACGTCCCGCGACGCCACTCTCTTCTCGGGCGCGCGTGACGTGATGTCACCCACTACACCTCTACAAGTGGTTGACTGCGTGATTTGACCAATGAACCATTTGTCAATCCACTGTTGGATGAAAACATCCCTACGCCAATCTCTTCGTCGTAATCATCATCATCATTGTCAAGTGCTGGACGAAGACTTCCGCACGCCATCATCATTACAAGCCATGGTCTATTGACGCGATCCACTGCTGGATGAACGCTACGTCATCGCCTTGCTCTCTTCACGGTCATGTGGATTACACAATCCATCTGACTCCTGCGCATGGATTCAACGTATTGCTCCGTCTCCGTAGTGGTCACGATCTCGAGGGCGCAATCTCTCCTTTGCTTTTGGCTGTCACTCCATCACCGGGCTTTTGCATCGTCAGCCACCATATGATCTCACAAAGTGGCTCATCTAAGCCCCGCTTACTTAATATTTCACAGACTCGAATGTACGTGTGTACACGTGCTGTTCTCTATCCACTGCTGGATGAGGTACCGCCCCACGCACCGTACAGAGTAAGTAATAACATGTGTAGAAGCAATTCCATCATCGCCCACACTTTATTTACTGATTACAGATTGAATGGCATGGACACTGTGTATAATGCAGTGACTTACCTACGGAACATGAACACTGGTCTATAATGTAGTTTTATAATATATAACAACATTATCATACGTGCGCGGTATACATACAGAAATACCTATAGATGTACAAAACCTCTCAGTACCATAAATCACACATTACGAAAAGCTCAACAAACCTCTAAATATCGATTTAAAGCTTTCGTGACTGCAGGGATTCATCTTCTTGGTTCTTTCGGTAAAGTCACGTAGAAGGGAAATAATAAAATAATAAAAATAAAACATTAAAAAATATATACTAATATAATAATATAACAATAATTATTTTATGTTTTATTTTTATTATTTCAATATTTCCCTTCTACGTGACTTTACCGAAAGAACCAAGAAGATAAACCTCTAAATACATCTGTCGAAAGATTCCTTAAATTATAAAAGTGCGTAGGAAAAGTTCTCATAAAACATTTTCTTCTCATTGTATTCGGCTCCATCCGTCGCAACGAGCTTCTCTCTCTCTCCAACACAACCATCATCACCACCACCAACAGCCGTTCACCACTATGCCAGGCTATGTGCACTTTGAGGCCACGCGAAATGTCGAAGGCTCGCTGCTGGCAGGAGGTCACTGGACAGACCCAGGTGCCATGGGTTGACTGACTTGACGTGACTGGCAGATGCACCACCTGTGCCCCCTACTGCGCCAATCACCACTACCATCCCCGGTATCACCAACAAAATCAATAGTTCGTTTGTCGGCTCCGCCGCCACGATCGCATTTTATCCGGGCGCCTCCCACGCGATAGCCGCATTACTGCTGCCAGACAGCAAACTTCTCGCCTTCTTGCTCGGAGCCGGTCGCCCCGAGGGAGGCTCATTGGCAGACGACGATGACGACGGTGAAGACGACGACGAAGAAGAAGACGACGATGACGATGCTGATGACTGCTGGCCCACGGGCTCGCCGGACGCGTTCTGCTGTCGCCCCATGCGCTTGCACTTGCACGAGGCCACCACCTGAATGCGGTAGGTGCGCGTCTCGCCGTTGCCGCACATCAGTCGGACCCGCTGCGTGCGGGAGCGCTCCGCCACGCAGCGCCACGCGGAGCCGTCCTCGCCCCCTCGCCGCCTCCAGAAGTGCCTGCTGCCAGCCCAGTTGGGCAGCAGGGCCGTAGGCAGGCACTCCCCGGCGCACACCACCTCCTTCACCGGAGTCACGCTCGTGCAGTCGCCGTCGGACACGTACTTGGTGGAGCGCAGTTCCCGGCAGCCGAGATGGGCTTTGTCTAAGTAGGGGAGTGGCGGGGGTGGGGTGGTGGGGGTTGCAGGAGGTGTGGGGGAGCATGGTCAGTATTGTTCAGTCACGCTCCGTGCATATTCATTTGTGCATTGCGCTAAGATGAATGGACTCCAGTTTCCTTCCGAAATTCAGTAAACGTGGAACGTTGGTCCCACGATTCCTACAATATACAAACGTTGGCTCAGCGTTTCATTTTAACTGGGAAGCCAAATACTCATTCGTATATTTATCCAAACATGCCAGCGAAGCTTCCCTGGGTATATGCACACCGCACGTCATGCAAATATACTCTACATGTACATAGGGCCAATTCTACGGTCACGGAACGACACCGGGACACATCATCAGCGATGATACGCAGGCTTATCCAGAACATAATTCAGATACTGATAGTCGCAACGCGTTAACACAAGCGACAATAGCACGTGCGTCCTTTGTCGTGAATATTTCTACGCCGAGTCAAACGTCACGGCGTTAGTTCTTGGACAATGTCCGCGGAATCGCCGATGACTGTCGCAAACTTCACCCACGTCCGTTGAACTCGCGCGACGTCGTCTGCACTTTCGACGTGAGATTCTGTTCACGCCAATCCGCAACGTGTGGGGCTGTACGTCGTCGTTGGACGTTAAACGACTTATCTGGCGCAGCTGCTGCTGCTGCGTTTGGCAGTGGCGCCGCAAGCACGGCTAACGAACGAAAATGAGGTCAACACATTCGTCAATAACGCGGTGTGGCCTTAACGCGAAATACGTATAATCGGCGACATTTCTGGCAATGGCCTGTCGACATTATAGCAACTTAAAATAACAAGTGATAGCATTGTATATTTTGCGAGGCAGCGTTAGGAACGAACGTGTTGGGATTTTAGAGTTTTTGTTTGGAGCGTTGGCTCATGAAATGTTCGTACGACTGCACGTGTCTTATACGTGGTCATAATCATCATCAGAGGCAGCAGCAGCAGCCATTATTACTCTACTGCTGGATGAAGCCCCCCCCCCACCCCCTAACATCTCTCCCAACCAGGGCCAACTGTAACGATTTTTCCGATGCAAAAACCCATCGCCGCTTCCGCTGCACACGACCTGCTGATTTCATCGCTTTACCGTCACGGTAGAAGTGGCTTCTGGCGCGTTTCCCTCCTTTGACTGCCACTCTAACGTTAGTCTCGACCATCTGCCGCCCATCCTTTTCTAGCGACGTGCCCTTGCCAAGCCCACGTGCCACCCCCCTCTCAACAGTCGAAGGAAGGCGTGTTCCTCGACAGCTAACGTGAGAGGAAGACCGAAGCAAAGCAGCTCAGCATCGACCTGCCCTGCACTGTCGACTTAAATCGCTCCACTGCTGGATGGAGACCTACCCACGCCGCGTCGGTCATGATGGGTCGTTTGGGCAAACCTCTCCGCGCGGATCAGTGCGGGTTCGTGAAGGCCGGGGGTGCATAATCCCACTCGGGAGCATAGAAGTACAGCGCAACAGTTGATATTTCTGGGCTGCCCTCTGCTGCTGCCCACCGCATAGCCCCGACACCGCCTACGACGACCTTCGTGTGCATGGTGGTCGTCCGACCAAATCGTTGTACGGGATAAAGAGCCCGCTTAGCTTCCTAGACATGACGATGAGGCGCGCATTCCGGGTGATCCGGCCATAAGGCTTTGCGAACTCGAGTTGCCGCGGACGTGCCTTGCGGAGTAATGCACAACAGCGGCGGACGTAACCACAACTCGTGCGTGACGTTAAAGACGTGTGCACACAGGGTACGTACACACACGCACACGCGCGCGCGAGGTAAAGGTACAGCCCTGCAACTGCTGGCTTGCGCCATTGCTGGTGGAAGGGTCGCTGCTAAGAGGGAACCCCAGACAGCCTCTCCTCTCGAGGGTACATTTTGGTTTCGACAGACAACAACTGACGACAGTCACTGTAAAGTGACTTTCAGGCAGAGCTAATAATACAAATATAATAGGCAACGTTTCGGGCAATAGCCCTTCTTCATAGCACGTGAATAGATAGCCCCGAGAGACAAAGCGAATAGTAAAAGTTGGAGACTGTACTTGTTTACACCAAGGGGCCTGAAAAGAATTAACTTTATTTTCATTTTCTGACGACCGTTGTTTAAATTGATATGTTAATGGTTTACCTATTGGCGGCCATTGGGTAGAAATTCCGTGCTTACAAAAACTCCTCGCTTTAGATTTCTCTCTTGCGATATCATAGTTGATGTGTGTGTGGGTTTCTTTTTTTAAACACAAACATACATAGAGGAGTTTCCGTCGCTTTACCGTTGTGCACGTTCCTTGTTACCCCAAGCGCGTCTTTTGTGGGTGTTCAGTTGCGTTTGGCGCTGCGTTGATGGTGCGGTGAGGCCTACTGAGCTATTTAGTAACTTTATTTTCAGAAGCCACCTGGCCACAATGATAGCTAAACGACGTGGCTTACCATGTGGAAATGTATCGTTGTCAAATACTCTAAACGCACGTTGTTTCTAAATGTGGAGAAAAAATCCATTCAACCACGGAGAGAACATGCAAACTCAGTATATAGAGGCGTCAGGGTCGGGGTCGAACTCACGACCTGCTGTATACCAGGCGAGGTAGTGAACATCTCCTAGCCATCGTGACTCTCTTCGTGACCTCACTGCGGCGGGCTGCCCGTCACCAGTTTGATGGCTTTGTTCATGAGAAGGGAAAAGTCACTTTCCAGTGACTTCAGGGCGCGCTCTGGTGGCTACAGCGACTTCAATGCAGAGCCAATGCCGCTCTTACTGTCCCCACGGTAATCGCACGAGGACGTTAAACGTCAATTAGAAGTTGTTATATATTTTTTTAAAATAACTTAACACGTTTCAAATGAATTTACGACGGTGCTTACTCACACTTGACGTGCTATGAAGAAGCACCATTGCCTGAAACGGTGCCTCTTAAATATATGTTTCTTTTAAGGCCAGAGTGTTATTGGCGACTTTGTTGAGTGTGTTCATTGTGCTTGTGCACCGCTGCCAACGCAGAAGCATCACAATATAATTTGTTTACTTCTCTTCAGATACAAATCGAGTCGCTAAACGCTGCACACGCTCGGTGATTGCTAAATACGCCCCGCGTGACGTAGAGCTTGAATGAACTCTTTATCCGCGTCACATGGAACACACACGTGCACGCGTGATGTCGACATTCATTTTAATCGGCGTTACCTACGCCACGTGAGCCCTGCTGAGCAATCATCGGACGCGTGTAGTGTGTAAACACAAGTTTGAGTTGATCGAATACACTTCTATCGCGGTGTGTCACGAGGCATGGAGTTTGGTAAAACACTGGAATATAAATATACATACATAAGGATAAAACTTCGATTGTACTGCAGTTACAGCATGCACTTCAACGATTTGCGTCGTACAGTGTCAAAGAGGAGGTTCATTTTGACTGGAAGAAAGCAAGGTCCGATGGTCAAATAAATCGTGACCGACATGCAATCGATGCTGCTATCACAGCGCCACAAGAGGACACGAGTTGACTGGGTGATGGTGGGCCAAAGTGATACTTGGCTGAAAATCAAATCCAGCGCAATGTAGTTTCAAGTAACAATTACGATGCCAGTTTTTCACACCGAGTCTGAAGGACTATTTTTCAAGAGAGTCCTGCATTCACAGGTTTGGTCGGATTTCTGACCAATATCATTAACGAGTAGCTGGCATGCAAGAGGGATTGGGGGGGGGGGGGTACCCATAGATAGAAAAAAAAACAGCAACGCACACGAATGAAGTGACACTCAAAGTCTGCTCACAGACGCAGTATATGTTCAATATACAGCTCCAATGCGTGCGTGCATTCAGTCTATATTCCCGCTGAACCCATTGGTTTCATTGACGTCTCCTGGCCACCGTGCAGTCGCACGCCCGACAACACCTTGCAATCCACCACGATTCAGCCCCCCCCCCCCCCCCCACGTACGAAGCTGTATGGAACCTGCTGAGCTTCCGAGATGTTTTTGACGGCAACGAACGTATCAATGGCAATCTCGTCTCACGCAAGATTGGTGTTTGGGTTTGCAGAAGAAACTAAACAAAAAAAAGCCACCACGTTCCTCGGACGGTCTGCACCACCTTACCAAAAAGATAATCACGAACCATCAGCCTCCACAGCTTGCTTCGTTTCCAGATATTCGGCTACATATTCTCGGGAGGGGTTTTCGGGACGGCCGTCCGAGCCGCATTAGCCGCCCCATCATGGGCAGAGTTTGAGGGGGGGGCACGGGGGGCCAATCCTCCACCAAAACTAAACACCTTTATTAATTTCTTTTCAGCAGCTTGTAATTAAAATAAAACACGTTATACGCACCCTTGAATGCTGATGTGAGGGACAAATCGAACCCCTATCCCCCCCCCCTAAAATATAGAAGTCAAACTCCGCCTATGTGCTCCATCCATCCTGACGGCAGTGCTCCTCCATGCGCTCACCGAAATCGTGCAGAGCGCCGCGCCTCGCCCCGTGGCTCGCCCGGTTATCGGTGATGTTGAGCAGGGAGCCGACGGCGACGCGGGCAGCCGAGGAAGAGCTCTTGAGTCCCGCAGAAGAGACAGCAGCAGCAGCAGCAGCAGGAGGCTGGGGTGGGGCAGCAGGGGCAGCGCCGTTGGAGAGGTGGTGCTGGTGGTGGGCAGCGGAGGAGGCGAGCCCAGCCGCAAGAGCGCACGGAGGCAGCAGCAGCAGCAGCAGCAGCGTCGGCAGTAGCATCATCAGTTGGTGGTGATGTTAGCGGAGGCAATGGTGGTGGTGGTGCAAGTGATATTGGTCGTGGTCTTGGTGGTGATAGCGATATTGGTGGTGGTGGTGGTGATGTTAGCGGTGATGGTGGTGGTGATGTTAGCGGAGGCAATGCTGGTGGTGCAAGTGATATTGCTCGTGGTCTCGGTGGTGTTAGCGGTGGTGGTGGTGGTGTTAGCGGTGGTGGTGGTGGTGATGTTAGCGGAGGCAATGCTGGTGGTGCAAGTGATATTGGTCGCGGTCTCGGTGGTGTTAGCGGTGGTGGTGGTGGTGTTAGCGGTGGTGGTGGTGAGGCGGAACCGCGCACCCACAACACACGCGGCGTTTGTGCGGCACGGGGAGGCAGCGCGTCGCTTTTATTGCGGATCCGTGGAGCGCGGCTCTCAAAACACGCGCTGTGCGGGCGGAACTCTGCGGCTCCGAGTAAAAATGAACACACACCCCCACTCCCACTCATACACCCAGACAAAGACAAAGATACCCTGTGTAGCCTTAACGTCATTTGGGGGCAAGTGCTGTAAACGAGCATCTATTAAGGCCTGCACGGCACACGGGGGGGGGGGGGCGGGTGGTCAGCACCACGTCCGACTGAATTTGTCTCCCAAACGGGGATGTTTATACCACCGCACCAGGTACACATTTAAGGCTGAGTCGACCTAAGGGAGGACCGGTTCAGATATTCGTCACTGATGTTGACCGTGACGCGCTAACCACAACACTACCGTTCCCCCACGTAATACAAACACAAGGTATCACACACGCACACGTAACACACACATCGGGTATCATGAATATTTATACAGGGTAATGCAAACGCACACACTTACGCAAGGTAAAAACACACATAGACACAAATATTCACGGTGTTACGCAATAAACAAAGATCAAAGATCTCCCATATAGCCTTAACAGACTCTAGGGGCAAGTGCTGTTAGCCAGCACCTATGAAGGCCAGAACGGTACACGAGGGGGTGGGTGGCCAGCACCACGCCCGACCGCCTTTGTCTCCCTAGTGGCGATGTTTACTACACACCGCACCCGGTACTCGTTTGAGGCTGAGTTGACCTAGGGGAGGCCCAGGACCGGTTCAGATAATCGTCACTGGTGTCGACCGTGAGCGGGAATCGAACTCGTGTCGCTGGGTTCATAGCGCAGCGCGCTAACCGTGGCACTACCGCTCCATACGCAATAAACGCACACACGTACACGAACAGGTATTTGCGTCATTCTAATAGCGCTATCACGAACGAAGGCTCCGTGTTCCACAGACATAGCCTGCAGTCGTTTTACAGTAGGGGGACGATGCAGCTCTCTGTAATCCCAATTTAGTGATTTGCGAGCAATCTGTCGAACTTGGCAAATTCGGCATATTTGTATTAAATCCATAGCTAACTGGGCATTACATTCGAGTACGTAAACATATACCGGGTCAGCCGCCGTTCGGAACAAATTGGTGGTGACGTCACCACAGCGCTTGTGCCACGGACATTGAGGCCACGTGAAGTGCCGAAGGCTCGCTGGCAGGAGGTCACGGGGACAGATCCATGTGCCATGGGTTGACCAACTGAGATGACTGGCAGATGCACCACCTGTGCTCCTCATTATGCCAAATTTCTGCGTTTTAACCGGCCAGGGCTCTGTTCGTTGTTGTGAGCGTTGTTCTGCCGCCCTCCGTTTTTGTTGGAGGGCGACTGCTTCCAACTGTCCAGTCGCGTCCTTCACGAGCACATTCACACTCGTACATACACGCGGATGCAAGGGGTATAATTGCAAGTTAACGTACAGAGTATAACACAAAGACAAACATCCACCGTATAGCCTTAACAGACTATTGGGGCAAGTGCTGTTAGCGAACACCTATGAAGTCCGGCACGGCACACGAAGGGGTGGGTGGCCAGCACCACGTCCGTCCGCTTTTGTCTCCCTAGTGGCGATGTTTACACACCGCACCAGGTACTCCATGTACTCATTTGAGGTTGAGTCGACCTAGGGAAGGCCCAGGACCGGTTCCAATCATCGTCACTGTTCGTGGCTGTGAACCGAACTCGGGCCGCTGAGTTCGTAGTGCAGCGCGCTAACCACCACAATACCACACACGTAATTACACACACGCACATGCATGATACATACACACGTGGTTTTTGCACGCACTTTGTTACACGCGCGTGTTCATAAAAAAAAGATAAAGGTCTTCCATATAACTTACACAGGCTGTTGGGGCATGTGCTGTTATCGAGGACCTATAACGTTTGGAACGGTGAGGTTTGGCCAGCCTCACGCCCTATTGCATAAAACAAAGGTGTCCCGTGTAGCCCACGCAGACTGTTGGGGCAAGTGCTGTTAGCGAGCGTCTATGAAGGCAGGAACGGCACACGGCGGGGTGGGTAGCCAGCACCACGCCCCAGCGCTGATATTTACACACCGCACTAGGTTCTAGTCTACGACTAAGTCGACCTAGGGGAGGCCCAGGACCGGTTTCAATATTCGCCGATCTCGTTGGTAGTGAGCGTAATTACACACACACATACCTCCAAATGCCATTACAGTACCTTTTATACTGTGTATACATAGGGCAGAGGCAGGGTGTGTTCCTCTTTGAAGCACAATGGTGGAGGAATATCACGCATGCACCTCGAGACAGCGTTGACACTAATTACACAACGAACTCGCCCGCAATGTTTTTTCAGTCTGCGTCGAGCTTTATGATACCGGAGTATTACGTGTCCGGTCTTAAAGGTCGTGCAATTCCGTCAGCGCACAATGAAGCCCTCAACACACCACACGTGACTGACTCATGCTTAATAATAATGACGACAACAGTCATAAAGGGATCCGCAAGGCCTATAGAATCCAGCGACTTGATTTCGATTTGAGTTCGCCACGAGCAAAGAGCAGTGCGCTCACCACTACGACCCCGTTTCACCGCCATCCTTCTTACGCGTAACAAACGAGGCACAGATACAACGTACCCTCCCACAACGTGCACACCAGAGTTTCAATATCCATCTTCCGCGCCACCCACCACTGTGCATCAACATCATCAATATCATCATCAGCCATAGCCGTCGCCATCCCTCGCGGTAACGCGGTACGCCAACCTGAACATCTCCGGCACGCGGTCTTGTGGCTTCTTTGTTGCGAGCATTTGGATGTCTGCGTCAATATTCGCAGCGTTAGTATGCATTGCCAAAGAGTTTAAGAAAGACGTCCACAATACGGTTAGATAATGATTCTAGATTTGAAGCTTTCGTGACTGCAAGGATTCATACTCTTTGGTTTTTTCGGTAAAGTCACGTAGGTTAAACAATCAATAAAATCAAATCAATGAAAACAATTAAATTAAATCATGATTTAATTTAGTTGTTAGTTCTTTTCATTTTTTTTTTATTTTATTGATTGTTTTAGATAATGATTGTTCATCGCTGATGCCTTCATCTGCCAGTGAATGGCTCATGGCTGATGATGATGACGATTAGATATCTCCACTCGCCTTCATCTACCACACGAGGTTCCCTTCGCTTAACCTCGGTTGTTCTTAAGTTCAGCGATAACATTGTACTAATTTACGTTAATTTGTCAATCCACTGCTGGATGAAGGCCTCTCCATGCCGATTGGGTTTGTTCGACCATACTTCACCACGCTGAGTCAGTGCGGGTCGGTGAAGCGGAGGTCAGAACAGGTCCATACAAAAAAAATATCGTTTATTTACTAAGGAAAGCCTGGATTAGTCTCAATAGTCCCTTTCCTTTGTATATGTTTGCATTGGATGTTTGGTCAGTTCCATTTAAGGAGTGTTTAGCCTTTGGAGGAAACTAGAGTGTCCAGAGAAAAATCCACTACGCGTAAGAAGGGCTAATTCTGTAAGGTCCTAACAGACGGGTTCACGAACTAACTTTCTGCATGACCGTCTCCTGACCATTTCGCAGCACACGCAACTGTGGGTGTTGGATTCTTTCGAATCTCTACGTAACCCACAAACCCTTTCCTCCAAAGCTCACTGTAAGAAGGCGTTGCGCCACCGAATTTTATATCAAGTCAAAAACCCATCAATAATGATTTACTTTCAAATAGTTTTATGGAACACATCTAAATAAATGAAATAAACGCTCAACTAAACATTTGGGGCGAGTAGGGCGGGTGGGGTGCGGGGTGGTGGGTGAACCGGGAGACCCGAGTTCGCTTTCCGCTCACGGCCACCAACACCAGTGACGAGTATCTGAACCGGCCCTGGGACCTCGCTTAGGTCAGCTCAGCATCAAATGAGTACCGGGTGCTGTGTGTAAACATCGCCACCGGGGAGACAAAGGCGGTCGCGCGTTGTTCTGGCCGGCCACCCACCCCTTCGTGTGCCATGCCGGCCTTCACATGTGTTACTCGCTCACGGCATTTGCCCTAAAAGTCTGTGAAAGCTATACGGAGGATCTTTGTCTTGATGAGAGTGGGGGTTGGGGGCGGGGGTGCAACCGTCCCTTCTGCTCCCTCCCCTACACCCACCACTGGGCGAGCCTCGATATGTGCCTTGCACGTACACCGATACACGCACGAAGGGGCGGAAGGGGTGGGGAGTGGCAGAGCCCGAAAGGCCACGTGGGATCACTTTTCATTGAGTCATTTTGAAAGACGCAGCGCCTTGCGCGCGGATAAACAATTACAGGTGTCACTAACTCCTGTCCATCACCTGGTTTCCGGAGTTTCGTGTTCGTCTGTCAGCGGGGGGGCGGGGGGGGGGGGTCCGCACGGCTCGCGGCGGTATTGACAGCAGCTGCTGCTGCTGCTGTGTGTGCCGCAACGGTGACAACTGCTGTCAGGTCCACGTGCTCAAACCGGGGCAGAGATGTGCCCAGAAATGAATTTGGTGATGGGTGGTGCTGCTGCTGCTGCTGCGTTTGGCAGTGGTGTACAAAGTACGCCCCCCCCCCCCGCGTGTAGCCGAAAGCAGATTGTTCGGGCAAGTGCCGATATCGTTGGTAGGCTTTCATCCAGCAGAGGATAGACCAATGGCTGCGCGTCTCACGATCGTGATGCTTATCGTGCGCTCAACGTGCCCAAGGCAACGGAGGGTGAGAGCACCTCCTAGCGACCAGATGTCCTTTCGGGTTTTCACTCTGGCAGGAAAATGTTGGCAGAGCCGCGTTGGCCTTGGTTCTTGGGCAATGTTATCGAGTGCACGCGACAATGACACGTCACATCGGGCACATCAAAATGATCTAAAAGCGTCCCTCGGCTCGGATTCACGTCAACAGTATTGAGTGTGCTTCCAAAGAGGCTCAACGGGTGCTGCTCACATTAGTGTCGTCATTATGATCGTTGTTATTATTGGCTGTGATCCAGCGCGTTGAAGGCACCGATTGACAATTAGGGGGTGGGTGGGATTCAGAGGCGCGCCATACAAGCACTGGATCGTGCGTGTAAGTTTGGGTAATCGTGC